CACCAGCTGAAATTATTCTAAATTATGTAGCAAAAAATCTAAAATATATCTACTACTAAAACCAGCAGTGAAAATATACCCCCAGTAAAAGAAACATCGCAACATAAACCATCTTTGAAGAGACTGCCATCCGATTGGGGCTTTGCAAAACTGACACTACAGATTAATGCTTGTATTGGAAAACAAGCTCAGCACAGGAAACAGGGCACAGACATTGTGCCCTTTTCAACTAATGGGAATGCACTGGGTATTGAACTAACTTTATGCGCATTTTTACACATGGTGAAAATTATTCCTATCACAGTACTAGGACCTGTGCTGAGGACAGGAAGAGGTCAGTTCCCTAAACTACACACAAAGGGCAAATCTGAAGCTGGACAGCAGCTGACGAAGCTGGAAGCGATGGCTGAAATTAAGCACCAGACCACTATGTATCATATACAAGCTTCCCTTAAGGGAAGAAATAAAATTGTATCAATAGTCCCACTAGATTCTTAGGCTTTTATTTGTAATTAGTATGACAAGGCTATTTCTTATGGAAATGTGGCACCAACCTGGGAGGGAAAAAAAAAATAATCAGAAGCTATCAAGAACTGACGGTAAATTTTTCTTTTTGATCTAAGAAATGGTGGCCAGTAACATCAGGACCTGAGAGCAGCAACCTCATTGTCTGTACAGAGGTTACTGAATCCACTCAGTTGGCAAATTTTCACTGTACCAGCTCCTCTGGTATACAAAACAAATTTACAAGATTTGTTTTATAGCAAATACGAGCTGGCAAACAGTGTAACTAAAGATACATGGACTCAGAAGTCTAAGCAAAAAAAAAAATAAAAAAAAAATAGTAAAGTGCAATACAGCTCATCTGAGAGTGACTTTGGCTTTTCTTTAATCAAGCACTCTGAAAATCACATTAGCAAAGCATTACTCTGAATCATTTGAAATAAAGAATATAATGCTTCCAAGTTAAATTCCTAAACAAAATGTACTCTCAATTTCATTTCACTAACTGAATCTTACAGTAACACCTCAGTTAGCAGGTCCCTGTAGAGAACTGCGAGCAGTCCGCTCTGGTGCAGTAACCACAGCGATTTCACAAAGGCTGGTAAACGGCATCATGCACATCCACCTTAAGAGCTGCTACCAAACCTCTAAAATCCATAAGGGAAAGAAATGCATGTCTATGTAGCTAACACAATCCAGCAAATTCCCTCTTCCTTAAACAGCAGGTGACACTGCCTCGAAGGCTGTAGGAAAATGTGTATGGCAACAAGGAGACAAGAGAAACAAAGAAATACTTGTTTCCATCATTGTGAGAACAAGATACACCTATTAAACCACAGTCTGTATAAGCTCTGGTGCATTCTGATCACCGCGGCATATCCTAAGAATGAAAAGAACTTCAATGTGACCTATATTCTATGTCTTCTTAAAGTCTGGGAAGCACCCTTGAATCTAATTTTAAAAGCTACTGTGTAAAACCAATTAGGGTAGGATCCACTAAGCGAATCACTTATGAAGGGCTCTCCTGTAACAAGCTACAAAGACAAAATGGCCTTATAGATTTACTGTCCAATAAAAGGAAAGGAAAGGTTTGTAAAAGATAAAGGAAGTATGCATTATCTTTTTTAAATGAAGGCGAGATGTAGAATTTTAGTTACATCATATTATTGTACTATAAATCTTTTTTATTTCTAGGTCATATTCTCACCACACATCCTCTTGTACCTGCATTATTAAAACTCCACTAAAAGATTAGCAGCCAATTTAATCCCTTTACTATCTGATCTTGCTCAAAGAAAATATGATTATTTGAACACTACTATAAGTCAACACCAGCATTTTAATAAATGGAATTGTAATACAACAATGAAATCATGGGAAGCTATCAAGAAAAGGGTGATCAAGTCCTTTGTATTAAATACAGTATGTTTCATTTGGAGAAAAATCTATGGCTTTGTTAAACTTGGCAACACCACACACACACACACACACACACACACACTCCCTGCTGCCTTTTAATTAATCCTGTGGGACAAATTTAGTTTTTACTGTAAAACCTAGTAAATGAAGTGTGCATAATGATTTTGTTAAATCTTAAATTGCTCTTTTAATTAAGTGGTAATTTCTTGAGCATACTGTACTGTCTACTCAAGTGACATTACTGAGCACCCCAAATGCTTTCCACACTACGGGGGGGGTGGGGGAAGGCATAGATATAAGAAACAAAACCCCACCGTGGGAAGTAGGAAAAAACCCCTAGTATCATTGGTTGTAACAGGACTGGGGAGAGGGTCAGAGCCCTCAGCACTTCATAAATAGATTTTAAAATAAAGAAGCTGACATGTGGCAATACGGCTTCTGTATTGTAACATCATGACTTGGGCTCTCTTGACTTGCATGGTTCCTGGAGAAGCATGTTACAGGGATTAAATCCCTTTGAATGTTAATGTGTTCCTCTTTTGAACCACAAAGAATATTAATCCTCCTCCCCTCATCTACCAACAGCTGCACTGTTTTTTCCTACTTGACAAAGTGGAACCAGATAGCATGGCACGATTGACCTGAATGTAAATATTGCTACTTGGTTTGGAACTGTTCACTTTTTGCAGAATTTAACAAACCTGGCATAAATTCATCTGCAGCACAAATAAGAGTAAGTGTGCAGGCACCTAGGAACCTCTGCATGAGAAGAACTGTAAAAACCATTTATTACTTTCTTAAAAAAATTAACACACTTTACAATTCCCTACTGTGACAAGTATAGGAAGTCAGACTGGAATGTTTCAGAGAAAGCCCTTGCATGTGTATACACATGCATATATGAATCTATAGATTATGGAAAAGTGAATGTTAAAGTGAACAACTACAGCTGGGTTCAGGCATGATTCCAGCACACAGGCCTAGAGATATATGTTAAATCTTTATGAATCCATCTTAACCCTACACAGAACTCATTCAACTACTTCCCACGGTTTGAGGAAGGACTCCCATTTCAACAAAAGCTAGATAACCTAAGACAAGAATATGCAGGCTGACCATAAAACAATTCCACTAAGTTTCCATTATCAAAACAAATATTTTCACACGTTTGAAGAGTCGAAAGTCAGATGAACTGTCAGAGTGCTTTTCATTCAAATCTGAACACACCACTGACTGATGAGCTAACACAAAACCTGGTCTCTATATGTAATCCTTTAAAGTCCCAAATTTCAAAGCCAGGAGACAAATCTCATTATATTTACTATTCTGAATGTTCCCTGATATTTTACAATCATTTTCACATTTTGGCTGTCTCTACACTTTGAATTATTCAGAAATACCAACACTGCAGAAGCAGGTTATACATAAATTAATAAGAAACTGGCATAGTTTATGTTCATAAAATAGATTATGCTGATTAATTAATGGAAGTTTCCAATCCAATAAAAAAATCCTCAAAAGACCATCAGCTTTCTGACATTGTACTACAATATTGGAGCCATTGGCATAAATTATTATTTACAGTTTGATGCACATTCTGCTGATGCATTTTTCAAAAATCATGGCACTATTGAGGATGTCTAACAGTGTTATGCTTCATTTATTTCTGTAGTTCAAAAGCAGCCCAACTTGTTACATACTGTACAGGCCTGAAGCGGTAAAACATAAGAGAGCAAGTATTTCCATATAAACTACAAATGTTACTATCATATATAACCTGGCTAATGAACTTAACATGACAATTGCAGTGCACTTTCAGAGTAAAGATGCTTAAACAAAAATCTACTATCTCATGTTTATGATCTAAGCTATAACTAAGGGCTACGTTATTAATATAATAATCACAAAGCTATTTCAAACAGTTATTTGACGGCATTTAAGATTATACTTACTTAAAAATGTATTTATGCATATGTATTCTTTTCAATTCATCTTGGATACTTTAATAGACATAAAACTCTTGACTACCTTGCATTTTCCACCGAGGTACCTCTACACCCAAGAACATAAGGGTAACAAACTGCTACATGCATGAGGGCTCTTCCCCCAGGGTTAAACCAAGGTAATTCAAGGTAGATTGAGTGTGTAGCTGTGGATTTGTAACCTGAGATTGAAATCTGCATGAAGACAGTTATGTAGCACTTGCCATGCAGCACTTTGCTAGCTGTCTGTCCATGAAAAACCAAGTATACCCCACACGAAACAGATAATTATGGAAATAGAGATGTGGTAAGAAAAGCATAATCTGGGGAAAGAAAAGTGTGAGAGACATGAAAGATGACAACCTTTGGATTCTAAAAAAATTCAAACGTGGTTAAATGTAAAGCGTGGGTAGAAAAGAGATTTTCAGATCATATGAAAGCTTAAGTCAGAAAATTTAGTATCTAGTTCTACTACAATTGCCAGGTTTAGTAATGAAGACATATTTAGTCCTTTGTGGCTTACAAAGATGAACCACATCCTAAGCCCATGCATTCTAGTAATTAAAATACATCAAATAGAAGAGAGTGGTGACTTGTGAAACAATGATCATATGGAAAGGCTTTGTCCAAAGACTCTGGAGTAAGGAAAAATGAACTAGACTTCACTCGAGCTCTGTGTCTGAGAACACTGGACCTGATCTGTATTAATACTAATTCTCTGGTCTGATACATCTATACTTAAAAGTGAGTACAGATGAAATGAATATCCACCTTACCACATTTCGCACAAGTCCGGCAAGACAAATAATTGTCTAAGCATGGTGCAGAAGTTAAAAATCACATTATTTATTTAGCTGTTCTTCATACAGAAGCACAGACAGATTTCGATGTACTCTCAATTCAAGGAAAGAGGGGGTGGAAAGGTAAGAAGAGAAAGAAAAGTGTTCACATAGCTTAACACTGACCCATTCAAGCAGTTAAGGAGCAGCTTGGAACAGGTCCAAAGGCTTAAAGCAGCTCTCCTTCCAGTTTTGCTTAGCCAGATGGAAGACAAACACATTTCAGGATTTCAAGCAGTGCTTAGGCTTGGAATACCTGATGCGTTACTCCATTTTTAGCTTGAACCCCTTCACTCCTCCCAAACTTGGTGCTTATTTCGGGTAGTTTTTGATTAAAATGTTTTTGAGATAATAAGATGTACCGTGCTGGAGATGCTGGGGGGATGGGGAGACCCTAATAGAAAGGAGAAACAATAAAATGGATGAACTGTTGGAATCTGGTTGATGTAGTAGCACCATCCTGTCCTCCATGGGAATCTTTCCCCTTCACCCCAACTTATGCAGCTGAATATAATTACTCCATCTCCTTATAAATGTTAATTCAAACTACGGAAGTATGCTGTGGGGGTTTTTTTCAGATTAAATTCTAGTTGTTTCTCCATAACAATGCTTCTGTTTATTATCTCTTAATCTAATGAATTTTTCACTAGTCCATCTTATACTCCTTATTTATCTGTTAGTTTTTAAACTTCAGTAGTACTTACACACATTACAATGCTAATGACATTACACAGCCCTTTAATGGACACTATGAGAAATTCTGTATGTGAATCAGATGCATTCACTACTCAAACCACGCTACTAATAGCATAGTGATAGATGCTTTCTTTAAATTTAAGTGAATCCTATGCTGTCTTTGTAGAAGGTCTCGGGTTCATTCACCCTTGGTAGTCTTTTCTGCCACAGATCTGCATCACGTCTTTTTTAAACATAAATACTAACTGGTTTACATTAATATGTACAGTATAAAGAATTCCTTTAAACCTCAGGCAACTACAGAACAACAACGGGGCACCAGAGGACGAGAACACAATGGTTAAAAAAAAAACTACTAAAGAAATTAATTTGCCTTGCTCTTTACTAATCAGGGTCACCAACAGACACTAATACAATAAAACAGCACACACTGTTGAGAGGAGACACTGCTTTATCCTCAAGGGAATTTAGTTTGCAGTTGTCCTCAAGTTTAATCTTACTGCTGTGGCATCTCCTATTTTTTTTACTAGCTCAGAACCAGGGTAGAGCTTAATAAGCTATCAATGGAAAGAATTAAATACTGTAAACTGAAATTATGCACTAATAAAGGAAACACTGAAACACATAACTTGATTTTTCCCTCCCCCCACCCCCCTCCACTTTACTGTACTGTTAGATTTTAAGTCACACCATCTGTTTAGTGAAATAATGCTCAATGAAATACCAGTTGTAAGCAGGAAGTCAAAGGCAATTTACAATTCGTATAAGGTTTCCTTCCAGGCAAAGAAGAAAGGAACGGTAGAAGAGCTTAAGCTTGTATCGAGAAGACTAAGACTTGAAGCCTATACCATTTCTAGTTCTCTAAGTGCTATACAAGCTAAAACTTAACTTTCTTACCACTATCCGTCCTAATTTCCTTTCTCCTACCAACTTACTTGTGTAGTTCTGATTCAGAAATTCGAACAACTTTTTTCTCAGGTTTAATATTGGAAAATATTTACTGAAGAAGATTTCAACTTACCTGATGAAGATAGTTGCCCAAAACATATTCTTGAAAGTAACCTGGTGCAGCAGATGATGCTCTAATGGCCTGCCACAGTTTATACTGACAGCCTCCCATATAATGAGACTTAACACCAGGGAAGTGGTTGTAGTTTCTAAAAACAAATGCTTTCAGTGGTGTTCCTCTGTTTACAATGGTGCTTACAGCAGATACCTAGTGAGTCAGGAAGAACAAATATAGTTCTGAATAATAATAATAATAATAATAATAGTAATAATAGCTTCCCACAATATGAAATTCAATTTATACATTAAATATGTCTCTGGAATCCTACTTGGTCTATTTATTTATTTTTATAATGCCTACCTAAATTTTAGGAAGTGAAAGTAAAAAACCAAAACCAAACAGTAACCTAAGAAGAAAAAAAAAAAAAGCCAAAACCAAACCTCCCTAAAGAAAATGCTGGTTTTTATCTGAAATTGATTGTTTCCACTGGTTTTTCTGTTTATACCACTATCTACCCATTGATATTTAAACAAAAAGCTGGTGCAATCTATACGATTTGAAAATGTTTTGCCTTTATGAAGACTCAAAAGTCTGTAGCAATGCAATGCAATAATATCATTACACACAAACGTTAGAAATGTAAATCAATTTCTTTCTCTAAGAAAATGATAACTCAATATTCCAACCTGATTTAAAGGATTGCAGGAAGAATCTCTCCCAAAGACAAAATTCCCAAAGAATCCAATGTAAATCTTTCAAGGCTTTTTGTAAGGACACTGAAATGTCATTAGCAAAAGTCCCATAAGTAAATTTAAGCGAAAAGCCAAAAATCTACTTCCATAAAACAAAACACATGACTGCAAAGAAATGACATCTTACAGATATATCACAGGAGGTGAGAGTACCTATAGTTGTGGTGAGTGTTAGAATGTGCAAGACCTTCTAGTGGTGATGAATCCAGCCTAGCTGGCACTGTCAGAACAATACTCTTCAGCAGCCAAGTGGGTGTTCAATTCTATTTTGTTTACTCTCTTAGAGTAGGGTGTTTTTGTGAAACATAACTCAACAGCACTAGGAGCTGACACTGATATCACTATATTCATTTCCATTCTTCAGCTATGTAAGTTCTATCATTTAATTCACAGGTCGTCCATCCTTATAGAAAAGGAAATAAAAGTATAACTTCTATCTGATAATGCAGAAGCGAAACATGTGCATGATTCATACTGCATCATTCAATGGAGGAAGTTTCCTGTTTTGGTAAAAAGGAAGGTTTGGTTCTAAGCACTACTAAAAGCACTAAGAAAAAAAGAAACTTTGGAAAATTTAATAGAAAACATACCAAACCAATACTTGAATTCATTTTTGGCAGTACCCATATATATTTTGATGCAGTCTAGGTTGCAAAGTGCTGAGCACCTTCTGGAAAAATCTGTGAATTTAACAGCAGCAGAGTACACAACTGCATGTTTGATTTTGATTTTGCTTTGCCTTGTAGAGTGCCACCACTGCCAGCAAAACAAAGCGATTACTGGGAATAGCTAGTTTCAGGTCTATTTATATTCACATTTTATTACTGAAGAACATGGAAGGAAGCCAAAGATCCCAGTTCAAAGATAACTTTCAAGTCAATGTAGGATAGCTTCTCTCTCAGAAAGTAACATACCACTCCAGCCTTTTCATGTCCTTGTTTTAGACATGGACTAGGAACGCAGTCAGTCAAGCACATGTTTCTATGTTTAGAAAAATGTGAATATCTTCCATTTAACAGTAAAGCATTGAATATAGTGCTATGACACCAAAACACCTGTTAATTACAGATTGTTTTGAATTATGTGCTATTATATTTCTCTTCTTTCTTCACACCCTATCCTTCAACAAGAATAAAATACCCTTCCTTTCTCATCTTTCACTCTTGTGCTGCTGCTGTATATAACACCCCTCCAATTAATTTGGTGCCCCTTATATCTTACAGGAAGATGAGAGATCTCGGGGCCTATGAATGTGAGTGGAAGAAACCTGGTAATCCACCTACAGTGAGGAGAAACCCTTTTCTCTTGCTATACAGTAACACAGATCACAGCTGACACAACAGGACCTCCGAACACTAGAGTTCTCTTATTAAAAAAAAAAAAAAAACAACCAACAAAACAAACTTTGCACAACTTCAAGAAATGACCTAGTATTTCTCTGCTTATAACCCTTTAAAAAAGATCTCCGAGACATATTCTAACTTGAAGTATTAAATAAAACTATGAGAAACTGCTCAAAAGTTTAAGAATCTAATGATTTTTTTTATCCTTTAAGAGCAACGGTTCTCTCATATGGAAGCTTGGAGAGCGTATCAACACTCATGCTGTTTATCCAATGTTCTTCTGGGCATAGTAGTTTTACTCAGAACTCTTAAAAGTACTTGTGGAATACACAGTTAGTATTTACCTCAGAAAACTGGACTTACCTTTGGACATTTGGAATTTCTTGCAGTTTCAATCAGAAGATTTGAGCCCATTCTTTCTCTACAAAGAAGTGTAAAAAAAAAAAAAAAAACAAAAACGAAAATGGTGTATCAGTTTAGCATGAATAAAAGACATTTACTTTTACCATCCTTAATTCTGAGAACTTCACATCTAAAAGAAGCAATGCTTAGATTTCACTTTAATAATCAGATTTCTCCATTTGACTTCAATGGACCAATACTCCAAACTTTCCAGGCTATTGGAAGTAAGTCTGAAGAGTGACTGAGGTCTTGATTCAGTTACTTCACCACCTAATTAACCATAAATAATCGGGATTACTCAACTACTTTGCAATAGGAAAATACTTTGCTACATTTAAAAATTTAAAAAAAAAAAAAAAAAAAATCAACATCTCCTTATTATACACTTTCACAGTAACAAAAATTACTCTCCTGAACCGTCATGAAAACGAAAGCTAAGGAAGACGCCATCCTACAAGATTTAGAAGTTAAAACATTTACACATAATCTTCCATAAAAGGAATTCAATATGCCTTTAATACTCCTTTTTAAGGTGGAATTTTTTCATATGCATACATTTTTATAAATCTGACTGTGAAATCACATGAGTGGTCAGCATTGTAATTTACCACCACATCAGCAGTAGGGTCAGTATTCTAACTGCTAAGCAGAAGGTAGCTCTCCTGTACAGTGCAGGAGACTGGAAGATAGTACATTCTTCAATAATCTCACATCAGCATCTATTTCAGCTTCGATTTGGTACAGTAAAGCTATAAAACCCTACAGAATAGGTGCTCATCCATAACGATTCCAAACAGGCTTTCATTTAAATCAGCAAGTTTCCTTCCTTCCCTTGAACATAGCCCACCCAAACACAGGTGGTGCATCAACCTTATTCTGCAGAGACAGTTTTCAGTATTGCCACACTTTTTAAGCATAGTGGTATCATGTGCTGTTAAGAGATTATCCATCTATAGCTCGCACTACTGTGACAGTAGGTAGCCCTGCTCCCACTGTTAACAATAAGACCTTTAACAATCTAGTCAGGTCAGAAGATCAAAGAGCTTTAAATGCTACTATGGCAGCAGTCCTCAATGCAGACAGTAAACTGTTTTTGGAAGCAGGACAATTTACTGTTCCACTGGTGGATATCTGTGCTTGAAGTACAGCTGTTTATGTGTCTTGAGACGGAGGGAGAGAGACAGCTTCTAGTGCTATGATCGAAGACTGCTGCTGACACAATTTTTACATCAATAGCTATGTCTTACTTTTTTTTCCCCTATAAATGCATGAATTCCAGTCTCAGTTACCAACCAGAAGGGTAGGAGTGCCATCTGCACTCAAATTAGTGAGTACAGAAGGAGACAAAAGATGAAGTAGGAATATACAGAAATAAAAGATGAGATTGACAGAGGTGAGATATGAAAGACATCTACTGATTTGCATCACTTTCATCTACTTCTTCCTAAGTATCTGTATTAGATAATTTTTTTCCAAACCCTGAGTGCAAAGATTAAAAAACTGCTTAATTATAGGAAGTGTCAAACTGAACTATTTTTCTTGCATCTTGTTTCTTACAAAGGCCAGGAATGGATGCTTCAGAGTAGGTACAAGAAAGCTTTTGAACTCCTATTCAACATTACATTGTAAGGGCTAAAGAATTGCCTCCAAATTTATTTTAGTTTTGTTGCTAGCATTAATACTGTAATTGCCTATTATAAAAATATCTTTGTCAATCCTCATTGTTCAATTATTTTATCAAAGTCACAACACAATTTATTCCACAGTTTATTCACATAATGTGTTAAAAGAGAAAGTATCCTCATTTTAATATTATTGAATAGTCCTTTGTTCTTGAAAAGAGATGAGAACAGTAAGTCTCAAGATATTCTACTATCTCAAATTACTGCTTTAACTTGTTTGCTTTTTGTAAAGATAAAGAGTCCTAATCCCTTTGAGTGAGTTGCCTTTAGGTCACTAGCTACTTTTTAATTAATCTTGCAACAGAAACATTCTCTAAAATGAGGTAACTGGGACTGTAAATAGTATTTTAAATAAAATTGTATTATGGATTAATACAATGGCATTATAATATTTTCTGTATTTTGAATCCCAATTGTCATATACTGGATGATCTTGCTTGACCACGAGCACACAAATGTTTCATTAAACTGTCTGCAACACCTGAACTACTTTTGATACTAGAGTTAGCTTAAATCCTGCAAACATTTTACATTTTTCCCCTCGTGGGTTCTTACTTCACACACAACTTCATCTGCCATCCTATTTTTCCACTTACCTGCTTTGTTTGTGTCTGCCTGTGACTAATGTCCTCTAGACATGACCTACCTAAACAAGACTTTACAAATGTTGCTCTTTCATTGCTTCAAGTCATTAATATTGCAACACTCATTTCAAAAACGCTATGAAGAACATATTGCCAGCCATATGCTCAAAGAAACATTCTAATGGGCTACAGCCACCATACAATCAAATAGTCTGAAGAAAGACCATTCAATTCCAAAGGCAAAAGTGTAACTACTACTCCCTTCTAACAAAAACAAAAGTTGTCAGGAAACGACCACATCTTTGCCAAACCTAGGGTAGACTTACTGCATGTTCGATAAGGATACAAAATACCTTGCTGATAATGCTGCAAAATCTGTTTAGTGTGTCTGGAGTGACTAACTGTTGCAGAAAGTGCTGCCTGTCTAGTCGCTGAAGAGCAGTATCAATTTACACTTCGATTTGCATAACAAATGCTGGTTTTAAGTATTACACTTGTAATCCCAAACACAGGCATTATGCGTTTTCCCAAGGATGGAGAACATGTAACTTTTATCCTACCCTCTATGCAGTGCTTGATTGCTTCTCCAGATTACAGATTTCCAGTATGGGATTTCAGTTAGCTTGTGAAACCCCCTAGCTGCTTACCAAATTTCTCCAGTAGTTTCTCAAGATAGTGTGAAAGAAGTAAATTGTGTATGTGAACCATAGTTGAAAGAAAACAGACAACTTGGAACTGTAAGCCAGGCTCTTCTCACAAATGCAAATCAATATAGCATTACACAGATTGATGTACATACAGTAAGTATAGTTTTCTGCATAAAGTAATAAAAGTAACTGTTTAAAACCGGTTCTGAACTTGCTTTTCAAGGAATACATAAGGACTTAAATATATAGGAAGAGTTAAATATATGTAAGACGTAAAATCAGATTCCTTACAGCACTGAGAAGTTCGTTAACCAAAATAAGTTTCATATTCTGAATGCAAGCAACATTACCCCAATGCAACATTAGCTTAATTACTTTCAGCAAGAATACTTTCTGACAGAAAATAATACCATCAATATTGTGGTAAGGCTAAATATACATTGCATGCCTGTAAAGAGATACCCCATTTCAAGCAAGGCTGACAAGTCTACTACCATTTAAACAACAAATCTATCCAGCACAAGTAAGGCTTTAAAATTTAAAGCAAAACAAAGCAGTTTTCCCCACACAGTGATTAAAAGTTAGACTGACCTTCTTATTGCCATAAAGAGATGGTATATAACCTTTCAATTTCCTTCTTAGTTCTAGGCTTCCACACTGCAGGGAAGCCTATAGGAATCCCTACTGTTCCAATAAAACGTAGAGGCACAGCATCTCCCTTCACCAGTGCAGAACTAGGTCAACAAAATGTCATTTAATTAATCTATGGATAATAATTGCATGGCTTGCACAAGAGCAGAGTGCTTTACCTCCCTCATGTGTTACATGCAGCTGCAAAGAATAACAGCATTTTAATTAAAGGCATGTAAAATACTTTCACATGAGGTAATTCTGATTTTCACAAGATCACTTTTGAGTTGGGCAGGGGAGGAAAAGAGGGAAGGCAGAGAAAAATCTCTTTCCTAAAAAACCAGGGGAACTCCAGGCATCTGAGAAGGAAAACTCACTATATTAACTGGATAAACACATTCATTTCCAAAACCATGCCAAGGCACAGAGAAGTGGTGCTTGGAAGCCTCTCTCTCCACTTCAGCAAAGTGTGATGCTGAAAACACAGGCAGCACATTTATTACCACTACAATGTCCAGAAAAAAGCTCTCTGAATCCCATAAACACATCAATCAGGTTCCCAGAGGAACTTGCTGTGACTTACGCAAAGAAAGTATTTACATTTTACATTTCCTCTCAGAGAAAGATGTTTCAGCTCTTTCAGCAGCAGTGCCAGCTTACATCCTTTGGGAAACTACAACATCAGCTTGCTAAAAATTATAAACAACTATCAATACAGATGAATAAAACTAAAGTAATAAAACTTGTAATACAATAATTTCTTGCAGTGACTTTTCCTGAATGCACTTGTATACATACCTACGAACAAATACAATTCTGTTGGCAACTCTGACAGTATTTTTTTATTGCAATCCTTAAATTTCCCTTTTCAAATAAAGGGGCAATGGGCAAAACCCCTCAACGTAGCAGCTAAGATTAAAAATCCCTATTACAGCAGATCATTTAATTTCTCACCATGTCTCCTATAAGAAAAAAGCCACAGCAGGTGGCCAGTAAAATTTGTAGCAGATCTGTAATGAGTCAGATCAAGCAGAGCTGGCAGGCATACAGGAATATAATCAGAAATGAGTGCACCAAAGCTTACTTTATTCTCCAGAAACAGAAATCATTACACTAAAGGCTTTCAATGTTTTGGTAAACATGAAAACAGCTATTTCAAACAAACAGGAGTATATGCTAATCCCTTCTAGCTGTTTTAACCTTTTGCTTAGCAGTGAAACAATAACAAAGGCAAGGGGTCTCAGACATTATAATAATTATTTTTCACATCATCATTTTTTACTTACTTGAGTATTTTTTCCCACGTATCACTGTCATAAAAGGCATGGCTCCAACCCATTTTGACTGTTCCAACAATGACATTCTGCTTAAAAACATCTGATCCTAACTTGCGATATAGTTCTTCGCAATCATCCAGAGGGATATGGAACAACCCCAACATAAAAGCTAATATAGCTCCTGAAAAAGAAGTATTTTGAAATTTAAAATATAGCCTGGAGTAAGATTATAAAGACAAATTACCGTTTAATATTGTTCACAGGTTAGCAGTATATCTTGAAAACGGAAGACCAATTGACATTTACATCACTAAATTCCTGTTCAGAGATCCAAAACTATGCTTTAAAAGAAGAGATACAAGATAGGAAGAGTCTACATCCCAGACCAAAATTATGAGAAGTTGAAAAATGGCATTATTTCATTTTGCATATTTCATACCTAAAAAAAAGCATATGGCAGAAAGCAAATTAAATCCACTGCTTTACTTAGAGAAATCTATGCTCTGGTTTTAAAAATATATTTGGAGCATCACTTCCTATTTGGCAAACTCTGAGTCAAGAAAGAAAAAATCTAGGAAAATTCTCTAAGTCTAGTTTGGAATACATTTACTTGCAACTATTTATAACTAGTCATTCATACACAGTGCCATCTAGTGTGTGCCTAAAAAATTATGACCTACTCTTGCAGGAACAAAACAACAGTATCCAAAAAGCCTGTTTGCAGGATACCATTGAAAAGACTGTGGAAAAATAAAATTAATGCAGCACTACAGTTCTTAGATATCTTAAACTGAGAGGGACATACACAACCTCTAAATCAAATTGTGCAATACTGTGAGGACATGTACTTTTTCCAATCTGGACATGAATGCAATAGGTTCAAAGAAAATTAATTTTAAAATGAGTAAATTCTTGAAATAGAGTAAAACACATGCAGAAAGAAGTACAAAAAGGTAGTTACAGTTGGCCTTAAAGTAAACATGATTTCCAAGCTTCTTTTGCTCTCACAAACCATACCACCATGGTAGCTGAGTGTCATGGATTGATGGGCTCTATTTATTTTATTTACTTTGTTTACATGTATCACACATGTTTAATATAACCTGGGCCAACTTGACATGTTTCATCAAGAGAAACTTACTCAATTGTCACATTACCAAATGCCTGTTTTCAACACAGGGTAAACAGCCAGCAGCATAGAAACATTGTTTTCCCAAGTTATGCAAATCCTCTGCTACTTTCTTTCCTTTTAATTCTCCAGCACCAATTCTACAGTATCACATGCTTGTTATTTTGGTGAACAGTTTCAAGGACACAGAGCCTAAATTCATACCAAATGCAAACTTATTTTCACTTCACCTTCTGAGAAACAACACCCAAAATTGCAGGCAGCACCCAAGTAGCAGCAGATACTATCAGAGTCAAGGTACGCATTAAAGGGCTTGGCTGAAACCTGCTGGATAGCAAGGACACTCACAGGACAGTAAGGTAAAAATCAAAATATAGCGCAGGCTTTATCAGATGGTCCAGTGAGAAACACTGGACGCTTCCATCACACCCTGTTCCATATCTGCTGCTCTCCAGCCACCATCTCAGCCTCGACAGTCAACACTTCAGTGGGAAAAAAATACCTCAATAAAACCTGTGAGGCTAAGAAGCACACCTTGAAGAACATAGGAATGCAAAAGTATTTCTTCCTCATTCAGTACTAGTAAGACATCAGCTGAAGTGCCACAGCCAGACCTCAAGGACATTCTTCAAAAAAATTATGTGGACCAATAGAAAAAAATTAAAAACAGGCAAGAAAAGTCCTCAAACTAAAAAAAATAAGCACAAGTTGAGCCGAGTCTATAAGGAAAGCCTGTTCACTCAGGCTATGAGAAAAGCCTTTAAATGCAAAGGCGGCAGCTGCAAAGAGAAGAATCTGTTATCTGTGCTCCCAGGGAGTCAGGAAAAGAGGAAACAAACTGAACTGCAACAGGAAGATCCACATCAGGCATTTGGATATTTTCTTTCCCCAACTGCAAAGACAGCAGAACACAACCACAGATTTTCTGAAGTGGTCTGACAGGATTCAGAGTCTTAGAACATTGTCAATAGCAAAACACACACCACTGATCCTTCCCTTGGGAAATGAGATAACCTCCTAAGGATGCTTCCAGCTCTGTATATACCATGTCTTGACTTATTCATGAGTTCTCCTGAAAAAAACACTTCTTCCATCAGAAAAGTTTTGAAAATGCATTTCAGAACTAGAAAGACACCATAGGCAAAACAAAATCATCAACACAGACAGATGGCAGCTTTGTTTAAAGAGGGTCATCACTGGTACATAATTGCTGAAGGCTGGGAGGATACATAGGGTCACTAGCTCTATGCTGTTCTTAACTTGTGAGGAATATTTTGGGAGAAAAATATGCAAACTTCACACACATCCAAAACTGATGATCAAAGAGATCAGTACAATTCAGTCATGTTTGTAATAAAATGTACTGGAAAAAATATGCTTCAAGAACCTTTGACCACAGTATGTCAATGATCAGATCCCTCAGACAATGCATCCGAATGTAACTAATTATTAGCTCAATATAGAAATCTAGGGGGAAAAAAGAAGTGTAAATTATTGGAGCAGGCCAGCACATATGGAAAGCACTTTGCCTGATCACATACTCTTGATGTTTTAAACTGCTCCCTGTGACTCAATTATAAATGCATCACTAATCAGAAGTATCTTTGATATATTGGGAGACTGCATCCAGCTGCAATCTTCTGCAAATCCTACCACCATATGTACCACCAACACAAACCAAAATGAAGTATACTGCTAGCACACGCTGACAGGTAAGTACCTGTCCCAGCTATTCCCTGTCACCTGTTATTGCAAGCTGGACTACTGTACGCAACAGCTTGATAGTGCAAATGAAGTTTAAAAGAACACATTAAGTACTTACTAGCAGTTACAAAACCCCAACTGTGGTGAAGAATTAAGTTAGTTCTAATCAGAGTAGTGGGATCGAATTAAGAATACCAGGCCCCAATGTCAAAGAAAAAATGTCTTTATCATGACTGAAGGAGACATTAGGGAAGCGGTTTGTAGTAAAGTATCTTCCAAAGAAGCAACTACTTACTACCAAATTAACTTTTTTTTTCTTCCCCAAAGAGTTTTAAAAAATGTAAAACTATATTGTACCTACAAACGAATTCTGGCTAGTAGGCCTAAACATTCTCTACTCAACTATTTTGAGCCTATTAAGCAAATCTCTGGCAACACAAACATTGTATCTACTAATTGTGATTTGCATTTAATGTTACTTTTGAATTAAACTGTATGGAAGATTAACTATAGTGGGGAAAAAAAAAAAAGAGTAAGTGTGGGTTTCCAAAGGAAACTGAGCTACTGAACTACAGAATACCTCTTACGTTAGAAATCAGCATTACATGGACACTGGTCTAGGATCATTTCTGAAAGACAGGATTATCTCTTAAAAAGAAACTTCTGCTTTAGTTTCCTACTTCCTAGGGAGGAGTAACTTAGCATTGAGTCAAAAAAGTAATTAAGGCTAGGAGGGACCTCTAGTCATCTAGTCCAGCCTTCCATTCAAATAGGTTCAATTAGAACAGGTTACTCAGGACTTGTTCTGCCTGTGCAGGAAAATCCTTCCAGTGTCAGACCATCCTTGCAAGGAAAGCAGGATACCTTATACCTAATTGTAATTTCCCATGTTCCAGCTTTTCTGGTGGCTTTTCTCCTATCACTGTGCACCTTCAAGAAGAATCTAGGTCCCTCTTCCCTGTATTTTCCCATTAGTTGAAACAGCAGTAAGGTCCCACCTTAGCCTTCTCTTCTTAAGGCTGAATAAACCCAGTTTTTGCACTCTCTCCCTCTATGTCATGACCTCCAGTCCCCTGACCATCTACTTGGCCCTCTGCTAGACTCAGTGTGTACAAGAACACACCCAACAGATTCACGAGTTTACTGAGGAGCCCATAACTTCACACACAGTGGCCAAAGACCCTTAATCTGTTGGGTATGTTCTTGTGCATACAAGCCAATACGTAGTTGCCTTTCTTTGCTGCAATACACTGATGACCCATGTTTGACTTGTTCCAACAAGACCTGGTCTTTTCTACAAAGTTGGTTTCTAGTCAGTCAGCCCACCTCACATGGAAGACTTTGTACCTGGCCTTATTGAACCTTAGGTGGTTCCTGTCAAGCCTTTTCTCGAGCCTGTACAGGCCAATCTGAAAAGAGGGCACCACTGTACTGACCACTTCCTCTAATTCACATCACCCAAGATCTTGCTACAGGCACACTCTGTCCCACTGTGCAGGCCATTAATAAAGACAGGAAACACCACTGGCCCAGTATCTGAAGCACATTACCTTAGTTGCTGGTAAAGCCCTATAAACATCTAAGATACTTGTATCTGTGTGCAAAACAGAAGGTTTCCCACTCATTGAAAATATGACAACTGTATGATGTACCATGCAAAGTTCTTCCTCAGAAGAGATAGGAAAAACTTCAGAAATCACACCTATACTTTCCCAGCTTACACTCAAAGTCAGACACTGGCAAGTTCTGCAACATCTACATTTATTCTCAGATGTTATTTTACTATATTGACAGCAAAGTTCCAACTTGTGACTCAACAATTACCTGTGCTTACACCACAGATGTAGTCAAAAAGTTGATGAACCGGCTTTCCAGTTAGTTCTTCTAGTTTCCGTAGAGTCTGAAGTGCAACTAAACCCCTGAAACACAAACAACCTCTTCACATATAACATTAAGTTTTAAGATAATTAAATTTCATCTTACATAGCACTGACTAAGCCCATCTTTGCTTAACTGTAACAGTTGTAACTGAATAACTGCAACAGTAAGAATCCTGAATATTTCAGGGAATGAAGGAGTAGTAAAATCAAAATGCAGTGATGAAAACTAAATGCAATTGACATACTCAGGCATACCAAAACCAGTACTCAACAGCTACAGCCATATTGTTTTATTGCCATATTGTTTTGTAGCCAAGGCTCAAGGATGATCATTTATAGATGTAGACTCAGGATAGATTTTAGCTGCATCCACACCACATGGCACTTAAAGTTTGGCCTTAAGGCTATATAATGCCCCTTGGGGGGTAGTGTTTTCTGTCTGTAGGTTTTTTTGACTCAATTCTATGTGTCTGAAATCATGGGAGAGATGCATTCCAGACCATCAAACTTGTGTTTCTATAGCATGAAACAGACTAACTGGGCATGCAGAGGTGCTAACTCTGCAGGGCTACAGCTAGAAAACTGCATATGGCAAAAGGAGCACCAAACCAAGTACCATCTTACCAACACAGTCTGCTGAGAATGGCACCTCCTGCATGCTGCCCCCAAATCTGTCCTGGCTTGTGCTGAAGAGCTGTAGTCAACCCGGTCCAAAACTATAACCAGCTGAATATGACCAATTAAGCAGCATAACTGCTGGTACTCAGGCTCACTATCTGGACTTGTTTCATTTAGCAGTATAGATGTAGGTACTGCTTTCTAAAGATAAGGTGTCTCATAATGTCACTCCCTCACAAATCTAACAGAAAAATTGAAACACTGTATCTATACATATAGGCATCACAAATTATCTGTGAAGCATCCTTCTTCCTACTTTGTAATCTCTTTATGGTTTACCATGAACTTTAACATTTTTGTTTCCAAAAGTTGTGACATACACTTACTCCTTACTGAAGACAACTGATTCTGATGAAATAAAGAAATACTATGGGGAAACAAAAAGCTTGTGAATCTATTTCTGCAATGACTTTATACTTTGCTTTCTACTGATCAATATTTGTGAATCAGTAAATATTTGACAAGATTTCTTCAAATGTGCCTGAAAACAAACACAGCTTTTAGTAAACCTCAGACTTCAACTTTAATGAACAGGCTTCTGCTACTACTCTTAAAAAATCGTTGGTAGGTGCATAAATTCATGCAGAACTAGAGCACACATAACTAAGGACATGTGGTGCATAAATTAAAGAAAAATAAATGGACAGCATGAATAGAATAGCTTTCACCACAAGCCTATTCACTCTTTCATACGAGACCAGCCCTGCTAAGGCAGACACTCTCCAGAAAAGTACAAGACAACACAATCACAAGAGTATAAATTACTTCTAGCATTTCGCACTAGATTTTGTATTTCTGGGATTAGACGTGTGAAGACTAACTCAAATAACCATTTAATTTACTTCCAAAAAGAGAAAGAGCCAATCCAAGCACTAAAGTGTGTAGCCAGCTTTAAAAGGGCAAGTAATTTCAACATTACAGGACTACTAATGCATGGAAGTTTAATCACAAATGAAAACAAAAATACTACCCATCACTTGAACAGTCAAATGTAAACAGAACTGTAAAACATAAGTGGCATCTTTGGACACAAACTTGAAGAGAAACTGCAATTTTATTTCCAGTTACAGTACGAAAAAGGCTACAAGTACATAAAAGAGAGAGGTTTTACCTTGTTCCTCCTCCATCAATAGTGAGGATTCGAATTCCCCAGCCTTTCACAGGGTCTGTATATCCAATTATAGCTAAAGTCTCTCTAACAGCAGCCTGAAGACTTTCGTCATTTGCCTGTCTCAGTCTCAGTAGGCATGGGATTATTTTTTCCTATTGATAAATATACAGTTAGAATGAAATATCTTTGTATTTATACCAAAAAGAATCCATGCTTAAATTTACTAGTTTGGCATTTCAGTATAAAAGCAAAATGTTAAGCTCAGAGGAAAACTTCTTTAAACCTGTATTTACCCATCTGTCTTTCCAACAAGGGAAAGAAAGGATTCCAATCTTACATCATACATGCCTCACTGCTAAACTACCTACCTATCAGAATTAAACAATCAAGGTGAAAAGGAAATTTTTTGAATCTCTAGAAAAGCTGCATTTACCATCAGTTTAGTTGTACTGACTTTAATGTCACATTGGCCAAATACAAACTCAAGTATGGATCAAGTATAGCTAAAGGCACAGACTTTGCTGAATAAGTATTACACTGCTTCAAAACAGGAAATGTGTTCCAACTACATTAATACAAAAGCAAAACAAAAATTATAACTCTTCCTCACAGTAATTTTTAAATGTACAATTATTATCACAAAGATATAGAGTATTATAATCAAAATGGGAGTAGTGAATGTACTCTTTCATAATAAAGTAATTCACATGTATCCATGTGGATGTCTGACCTGTACCCTGCCTGGATGATATATCTGGCCTGCACTCCATTCCCAAATATTTATCTTCCAGAAATTCCACAATCCATGTCACACATCTGTCACATCTTGTGGAAAAAGGCAAGAGACTGACAAATGCTATGATTTGGCTCACATGGCTAGAACAGTCTACCACCTATGTCCTGAACTCTAACTGCAGGAAAGAGGAGTAGGACTAGATTACATGAACTTCTTTGATAACTTATACTGCACCGCTGTCATCTGTCTTCAAAGGAAGCATGCAAATAAGCATAAAAACTGCTGGGCATATGCAGATCAACTGTACTGTACACTCCCATCTGGCCGATTGCATCAGAGGACACAGTGTACGACCTTTGCCTACCACTAGAAAAAGCTATACTATCTATCCACATGACAGTGCTGCATGCTTCTAAATTAAACATTGCAATCTGGAGAGCCTTTAGCTAAACTGCTGAGAGTTTGCATACAAATCTGCTTCAACCAGCTAGAAAAATAGCTACAGCAAGAGACATTCACACTGTAATCTCTTACAAATAGAATATATGAGTAGCCCACAAATGTACATTAGAAACTTTCATGTTATTTTGTGTCAATCACCTGTCAGCTACTTATTTTTCGTCTAAGCATAAAGACTGTATGTACCTTAATTGCAACTCCTCTGCTCTCTGGAAATTCTAGAAGGTGATAGGTCAGTTCTTCAACCCTGCTGATACAGACTCTTCGATTAGAGGATCTTCGTAGGGCTTGCACTAAAGCTCGAGTCCTGTTATCAATACTCACTCTTGCAATAATCTAAAAAAAAGATAAAGCTATACAAATAACACAAAACTACTCTAAGAAACATGTAAACTTTGTCAAGACTAATTCCAAACTGCTATTTTAAGATTTCTCAGAAGTAGTGGACAGCATGTTGTACCAGCGATCTGCCACAGACTCCAAGAAAGCATTGCTTAAACGTAAGCAGGCAACCTTTTGGGTTCTTTGTTTACTAGAAAAATAAATAAAGGTAGCTTGCAGCAACAATACACCAAACACACACATGCCAGCATGTACTCAGACGTATTTTCAGGACAACGCTGAAATCACAGTATTTGAACCATGAAGAAGTCTAAGAAATATAACTACAACAAATGAAAGCATCTAAGTTTTCCTATATTTATGTATTCTCTCTTTACATGTATATGAGCTAAATATACGAATATATACACACGTATTTTTATATATATGTAGACTTTATAAACACTTTTGTATAAATGTATACACATTTTTATATATGTATACATACGTATACATACTTAAGTACATATATGCATATAACTTAAATGCAGTATGTATATTCATAATTTTTGTGTATATACAGCAGTATATGTATATTTATACAGTTTTTAGGTGAATATACATATATACTTATTTATCTAAGTATTATGTACTTATATCTACCTACACATAAATATACATATAAAGGTACCTACATGTAAGTACCTCAGAGGTATATACTTATTTATGTAACTATATGTGTGTGTACGTGTAAGTTTACGTACAGGCACACATATATATGTATGTCCAGAGTGCATATATACACTTGTGTAAAATATACATAGCAATAATATATATATAAAAAAACCACATTAAACAAAGACTTGCCTTTTCTCTCTGAAGAGACAGATGCTTTTCCTTCTCTTCTGCAGCCTTAACCTCTTTTGCTTTGTCCTCCTCGCCCTTCTCAGACACTTCTTGTTCTGCTTGTTTAGTCTTTTCTTGTGAAAGTGCTTTTGAGTCGGATCTTAACTTGGGAACCAACCCGCCAATGTAACTGTCCACAAAAGCTTGTACACTGTTACTGGGATATGAAAGAAAGTTTGCAATAGTTTTTTTAGTGGAAACTGGAAGAGCAGTACTTGGCTTCTCAGCACCTAGAGTCTCTGCTTCAGGAGCTAAAGTAGCTGCTGAATCCACTGTCTTTTCTTCACTCACTACAGTATCTTCTGATGAATCAAGCTTATTCCTCTCCTCACTCTGACAGTCCTGTAATAAAGCATTCCTTTTTCTCTCTTGATCCATAACAGGATTACTACTAAAGTACCAGTTGATATGATCAGCTATGAAGTTATAAGTCTCTCCAAAACTTGTAGAAAAGTAGCTTACATGAAAAAGGTGGCTTTTAGTAGACGCTGAATCTTCTGGGGTATCTCTGCAAGTGCCACTTGAACTTACTAACGCAGACTCCAAGTTTCCATTTGCACAACTGGATTTCCCTGCAGCTGGGCCTCTGTTGCAATCCTCCTGAGTTCTGGCATCTGTGACTTGTTTATCATTTTCTAGGTTTGCATCTCCATTACTTTTCTTTGCTTTTCCCAGAGTACCTGAGTGTGACTTCAATCGGGCTATCCGTGAAACCAGTTCACTGTGAGTGCCAGACACTGCCTTTGAAACAGATTCTAGAGTATTCTTAATTCGTGACATGTGACTGTTCACTTTTGTAAGTCCTTTGGAAGAAGAAGTCAAGAGTTTAGCAACTCTGTAGTATAAAAAGTCATGGCTGCAAATATATTTGCTATACCAAAGTGTTTTGCTTCTGGCCCATTTACACTGAGGCTCGCTTGTATGAAAAATTCTCAGGTGAGTGGCATGATTTATCCTCCAGCAGACTTTAGGTCTATTAAAATACAGATATCTGTTTCTTTGCTTCCACCAAAGACTTTTGGGGTTAATCAAAAAGAACAAATATGCATCTAAAAATAAGTGAACTGTCATTACTTATAAATAATTACACCTGTCCTAAGTTGCTGGTCTATTTCATTCCAGAAAACGTATTTCAATGAAGTCTTGTATGTCACAGTATTATCTGAAAAAGAACACAAAACAACAATGGAAACCCTAAACCTGTAATAAGTTAAACTAAAACCATAGAGCTGCTTAAAGCAGATGCAGCCTACCGTAAGTAAAAACAGATAAACATTCACATCAAGTAATCTCACAGGGATATTTATTGCTCAGGTCATTTGGCAATGTCAGCTCACAATTTCAATTTCAATGTGTTATTCCTTAAAGGCAGGTTTAAGTCCATCTTGAGCAATATGCAACACTTGCCCTAAGTATGTAGTGACATATGGCAACTGCTTTGCCAGTCTTTCTGATAGAGAATTTTGTATCTCTTTAGCAGATCATCACATGCAGAGACCAAATTTCAAATGAAACTATCATTATGTCACCGCCCCTTTGCACAATTCCTCCCAGGGGAGAAAGGACAGCAACGCCTTGAGCAAAGCTTCACTGTCGAGTTCAACCAAATGCTCCCATCTTAAGGGCTAAGAGCAGTGTATGACCCTAACTCTATAAGGAAAACCATTCCCGGGGTGGATCAGTTTCACACAGTACCCAGAGCTGCGCTGAATCCGCACAGGCAAGCCCATTACCTGCCTAAACGACAAGCTCAGGCTTCCCCTGCTGCCCTGACCGGTGCTGGAGAAGGTCGGGGAGGCCGACACCTGCACAGGCCGACGCCACGGTAACAGCAGAGGCGACACGGCCGCGAGCAGCGGCGTCGTTACTTACGCCTTCCTCAGCGGCTGCCCGAGCCTGCGCTGTGCCGGTACCCCACGGGCCAGCCCTCCGCCTGGGTCACTGCCGCGCTCCGGGCCG